CCTTCAACGAGAGAGTGCCGGAGCCATGGGGGAAGCCGCCATTGCCGCTGCTGCCGGGGCGGGAGCACCCCCGTCCTGGCTCGTGTGCGAGACACCGGAGCAGTTGCGGGAGGACGCCGCGCTCATCGTCTGAGTTCTTCGAGGCGTCTCAAGTCACCACCCTGCCGTCCTCTGCTCGCTGCAGACCCGGGCGAGTCGTGACGATATGCACCCAGCCCTAACACACACCTCACCCATCTTGCGTGTGCCGGGGTGCGATTGTTTGTTATGGCTCGAGATTGCGGAGCGCGGTTCGGGCTGTGTGTGTGTGTTGAGGATGGACGCGCTGTCTGCTTGTGTTTGCTCTGTGTCAAATAGTGGTTATGCATTGCGGCATGGGGATGTTATCTTGATGGCGAAGTTAATTATTAATTCAGTTGCGTCGAGTGTCCCGAGCCCGTTACCATCCCGTGGGTTGCCGTGTGCGACGTGTTTTCTTTTGATGATTTCTTTTGCTGCAAGGTACGACAGGGTTAACGGTGTGTTGTCTGCCTGCAGCTCTGCTTGCGATTGTGCATAATGTACGTCCTGTGTGGAACTTTGCTGCTTGTAATCGCGATATGCTGACTGCACGTACTGTATAGACTGTCTTTCTGTACGGATACGGAGTGCGGTGCATTGTTCTGACCATTGGGTTCGGGATTATTATTAGTTATGCGTACCTGTTCGGAAATTGGTCAATTCGTTGGGGGACCCTAATTTTTGGTTGTATGGGTGTTCGTGCACACGAGATTGCATGTGTGTTCATAGAAAATTGCGAGTGTTGAGGGATGAGGGCGTTGTTGGTGGCTCTGCCGTCAAGGGTGATGGGGCCGTAAATTGCCGCCAAGTGGCGTCGCTCTTTCCGTTGATTGCGTGCGGCCAGGGGTTGCATTGCGAGTTGATGTGTATGAGCAATGTGTCTTAGTCAACTATGGGTAAAAAATGTCCCCGATACGACTGCTGTGCGCAGCGAGCTGCGGCGATGCGTCGTATCGTTGGGGGTTGTTAAAACGTGACAGGGGATGTGTGTTGTGACCCCCAGCAAGGGGCAGCTGGGGTGCACGCACGGGAAAAACTTCCGAATTGGTCGCACGTTGGGCCGCCATTTTGGCTAGCGCGAGAAATCGCGGGGATGCGCTCGGCGCATGGGGCCGCCATTTTGAGCGCGCGCGGGAAACCTCGGTGGAGCGCTTCCCGCGTGCCGCCACCATTTTGACTATACACGTCGAGCCGCGGAGATGCGGTTATGGATCTCATCCCTTGACTCTCGTGTTGCGCTCTAACTTGTGTGCGTGCATTGCGTGTTGTGCGCAATGCTGGCGTGTTGGCGCCCATCGTGGTAACAGGAGCATAGTGGCCCGTGTCTGACTAAGGGGGGGCGTGTCATTGCACCAGCATTTTGGGATTGAGATGCTGGCTGGGTTCTATTCTGGGGCCAATATTTCACCAGTATACGCCTGCCTTTGTTGAGTGGGTGATGCACGAGTTGTGGTCACATCGGGCTATGGCCGATGGCTGACCTGACAGCCCGGAGGCGAGACACTCCGTGGTATGTCTCAAACTAATGGACCGTGTGCGTGCTCATATGGCTCGGGGAGTCGGGGTTCCGTCGTGCGGTGGCAGACTGTTTAACCTGGTGGGCCGGAGGCTCACGGAATTCAGGAGTAGGGGTTCCGTTACGTTGCAGCGAACGGTGAGACCTGGCTAACATGGGGCAGGGATTCCCCTTGCGGGTCCTCCAGCGGGAAGGGCCACGGACTTGTTCCGCTCTGGGTTATAACGGTATTGAATGTATAGGGGAACTAGTCCTGCAGATCCTAGTCGGGGATATGGATATTGTGGGGGTTCAAGTAAATGGAATATGGCCTAGGTTAGCGGAATGCGACGGGTCCGGGGTGATTGCGAGGATGGCAGTGAGGACACATGCTGGACAGCCTATTGGTGATAGTAATCTTAATTCTATCTTAATTTTGGAGCTTTCGTGACTGCAGGAATTATTCTTTGGTTCTTTCGGTAAAGTCACATATAAAGATAAAATAATAAATTAAATAATAGCATACGACGTTTCGATTGCAACACAAGCAATCATCATCAGGTATAATGAAATAGCGACGCAAAATCTAACCAGAAAACCACAGACAGACATATAAGCAGACAGATATCACCAAGATACACAGAGAGAGCAACACAGGTACAGAGAGGGGTGATCGTCTCTGTGGGGTGGCCCACTTAAATTCTAACTTAGCAATCTTTGAAATACGTAATCGACCAGGCTATGCGTTAATTGTGTGTTGACCGACTCTCTGTGTCGTTTTACATAACATTTCGATACTTTGCTAGGTTGTTTAATTTAGTGTGTTCTTTCTCCCTCTAAGCATGCGTACTTTACTACGCGTCTCTTCGTACTCATTGACATGTAAATTTTTTCTCTAACCCCTCCCTCTCTCTGCCTCCGCCCCCCTCTGTCTATTTAAGGCCACCCCACAGAGACGATCACCCCTCTCTGTACCTGTGTTGCTCTCTCTGTGTATCTTGGTGATATCTGTCTGCTTATATGTCTGTCTGTGGTTTTCTGGTTAGATTTTGTGTCGCTATTTCATTATACCTGATGATGAGTGCTTGTGTTGCAATCAAAACGTCGTATGCTATTATTTAATTTAATATTTTATCTTTATACGTGACTTTACCGAAAGAACCAAAGAATAATTCCTGCAGTCACGAAAGCTCCAAAATTAAGATTGAACCACTTCTATATACGGGGAAGTTCTGAGTTTGCCTTTTTCTCTCTCTCTGGGTTTTTTTGTTCTCTCTCTGCCTGTATATTTGGTGTGATTTTTTTCTGTCTACACTCGTTTTTTGTCGTTCTTGTGTTCTGCTCTGTCTGTGTGTCTCCGTTCCTCTTGTTTTTATGTTTTGTCTTTCTTTGGAATTTTCACACTTAAATTCTAACTTAGCAATCTTTGAAATACGTAATCGACCAGGCTATGCGTTAATTGTGTGTTGACCGACTCTCTGTCTCGTTTTACATAACATTTCGATACTTTGCTAGGTTGTTTAATTTAGTGTGTTCTTTCTCCCTGTTGCTATTTCATTATACCTGATGATAATTGCTTGTGTTGCAATCGAAACGTCGTATGCTATTATTTAATTTATTATTTTATCTTTATACGTGACTTTACCGAAAGAACCAAAGAATAATGGTGATAGTAAGCCTAAGTTGTTAAGATATTGGCTAGGGAACATTGCCCCGTGGGGGGTCGAAGGGGTCTGGCCTTGCCAAGGGATGAACCTTCCCTTGTCTGTAAAGCATCAGACTATAAGATGCTGGGGTGTGTCCATTGGTGATGGGATAGCACGGGATGGAGCGTGGCTGAGTCGTTGCGATGTGCCATTGTCTCGTCCCCGAAATTGCACTGGCCGAGTGGATGGCCAGTGGACATTGCTGTGGTTGGACGACCACGGTGCGGGCGAAGGCAGGTTAAATGTTGCCGCTGGGGAGCGTTGCTCTCTCCACGCGAGGGTGTGCGGCCGGGGGCTGTGTTGAGAGTGACAGTGTGTAGATGCTGTGTACGTGAGATGTCTGTGCTGGTCCTCAAGGGAGGACTGCTGATGGGCAAGAGCAGGAAAATGTTTGTTGTCACGTGTAAATCATATTTTTTTGTTAAAATGTAGATACTAGGGCATCCATCGCGTCGATTTTTGTGTATTTATTGGTTTTCTCCTTACGATCAGATTAGGATCATCTCCACTACCCTGGGGCCGGGTGGCTGTCGTGTACGACATGCGGATGTGCGTTCGTGGTGCTGTACCTCAGGGGGTTGGGTTCTCCTTCTTGTCACAGATCTTCGGCGCCTGCCACACTGGGTGTCACCGGTTGTGCTAACTGGATGTGGACTTGAAGGGGGAGTGGAGCGCCTGTTCGTCACTCCTGCTCTACCAGTTGTTCTCTGAAGTTGGACTTGAGCCAGGCGGATGGACCAGCAACACGGACACGCTCGAAGACACCGCATTCTAGATTATGCGCATCTGCCGTTCTTGCGTGTCGGTTACCGTTGTTGTGCATTGCCTTCCATTCCTTAATTCTTTCTTGCTTGTTGCACGGAGGATGGGCTGGTGTTCCGTACCGGATCCTGATCCCTTCCCTTTAATTAATTGTGTTTGTCGTTGTACTCTCCGTTGTGTCTGGGGTGATTCCTGATTGTAATGCCGTCACTCGCATTATTTTATCCTATTGCAGCCGGGACGGCTGGATTTTTCATCAGGGGGGGGGTCATGTAATGCGAGCGTAAATGTGGTTGCTGCTGGGCTCTGGCCCAATCACACGGCCCAGGGTATTGGGGGGCGGAGCCCGGTATGGGGGGCGTGTGGGAGGGGCCGCCGTTCACCTCGGCTCCAATGGGAAGCGAGGTGAAGGGAGGTGGAGCCAGCAGGGCAGTATGGGAAGGCCCATACTGCCCTGTCACGTGGGAAAGAAGATATAAGTGGGAGCCCGGAAGAGATCGGGGTCAGTTGTTGGAGTGAAGAAGCGGGACCACGTTGCGTGGCCGCCGCGCCATCAGCTACGTGGCTGATGGGGCTTCGGCACACCATCGGCCAGCGGTGTGCGGAGCGGGGAGGAGCGGAGTGACTGACGGGAGAGCGCGTGCGGGGCGCGCGCGAGGAGGAGCTAACGGAGGAGCGTGCGCGGCACGCGAGAGGAGCGTGCGCGGCACGTGAGAGGAGACGCTGGTCCCTTGTCAGGACCAGCGGGGTGTGAGGAAGAGTGGAGGAGCTGAGGAGGGAGCGCGTGCGGGGCGCGTGCGAGGAGCTGACGAGGGAGCGCGTGCGGGGCGCGCGTGAGACGACGCTGGTCTGCGGAGGAGACCAGCAGGGTGTGGAGAAAGAACCTAAATAAAAGACCAACGGAGACCAGCAGTGCCTGACGGAGTCTTTTATTACATATGGATGGCTTCATGGACGAATCTTTGTCGATAGCCAGTAGGCTTGAAAAGTACCATCGTCTTGATTGGATCCAATCAAAACGATCACCTTGCCATACATAGCAGGGGTAACCAAAAATATTTCCAAAATCATGAACAAACACAAGATCCAGGTCAGATTTAACACAGTACATACAATTCTGGATCTGATCCCCTCTGAAGGACAAGATTCCTGACATGTAATATCCTAGCGTTTACAAACTAAGCTGTATCTGCAGCAGCAGTTACATTGGGGAAACTAAGCGACATGTCTCAGACCATGTTCGTGAGCATAAGGCAGATTTGAAACACAGTAGGACCAATACTTCTGCAGTGGCCTATCATCGTTTTAATGCGGCTGGCTCACACAAAATGTTTTTCTCCCCCTTTTCCTGATGACGACCGCTTGTGTTGCGATCAAAACGTTGTGGTTTTTGTTTCGATTTATTTAAGGTTAGAACCAGGCTAAAGTCTACATTATAGACTGCTATTACACTCACCAGCATAAAAACCAGGCGACAGTCTATATTATAAACTGCCAGTACACTCACCGAAGTTAAGAACCAGGCTACAGTCTACATTATAGACTGCCAGTACACTCACTCCGATTTAAAACCAGGCTACAGTCTACATTAGTGTTTTTTTATTTACTTTATTTTTATTTTTCTATCTACTTGACTTTACCGAAAGAATCAAAGAATATGCCGTACTCAAATTGTAAATGTTGTGGAGTAGCAACAAATTGGCGTTTTGTTTCCGTGTGTGTCTCTCTCTGTGCGTCTCTCTATATGTGCGTCTCCCTGTGTGTGTGTCTCTCTCTCTGTGTGTTGTGTTTCTGTGTGTGTCTCTCTCTGTGTGTGTCTCTCTCTCTCTATCTGTGTCTCTCTGTATGTGTCTCTATGTGTGTGTCTCTCTCTTTGTGTCTCTGTGTGTGGGTCTCTCTCCATTTCTAGCTCTGCCTACTTACCTTTGGGTTGAGCCCACCTGAAGCCTATATACCATCTTGTTGCAGCAGCTTTCTCCTACCTCAGCAGTTCTCCTGATGTTTGTCTCACCTGATGACGATTGCTTGTGTTGCGATAGAAACGTCATGATCTATACATTTTCTATCTACGTGACTTTACCGAAAGAACCAAAGAGTATGAAATCCATTACTAATTGGCTGTGTCGGGTGGTGGAGGGTTACGACACATTTATACATACGCGATCTAATCCAAAAATCTTTATTATCTATAGTGCAGCGCTGAGTCTATGGTGCAACACTGAGTCTATGGTGCAGCTCTGAATCTATGGGCAATGCTGCTTGTTGTTCATGGAGAAATTGATTCCAGTGGAGGGGTAAAACGAGGGAGATGGACCAACGACAGGAATGGGCACAGGGAGGAGGAATGGACCCCCAAAACCAAACCGAATGCGTCGCGACGTTGACTCAGAAAAATGACCTCGGGTCACCCGCCTTGTCAAACTGACGCGGCATCGCACGTCCCGGCTGCTCACTCAGAGCCGCGTGCTGGGGCCACCAATGTGGGCAGGGTCCCCCATCTTGAGGCCCCCAGGAGGAGGAAGAGGAGGAGTCTGTGGAGGCCACCCGCCCTGAGCGAGCCGGTAGAGGGCCACCAGTGGGAGGCTTAGGCAGGGCACGCCGGCCAGTAGCACCACCACCGCCGCCATCCAAGACGGGTACGGCCTCACCTGCTTCTCCGGAAACTTGTCCTGCGTGTGTGCGCATGTGTATGTGTGTGGGGAGCGGTAGTGTAGCGGTTAGCATGCTGCGCTACAAACCTGGCGATGCGAGTTCGATTCCCGCTCATGGCCAACATCAGTGACGATTATCTGAACCGGTCCTGGGCCTCCTCTAAGTCGGCTCAGCCTCAAATGAGTACCTGGTATGGTAGACAAAGGCGGTCTGGCATGGTGCTGGCTAGTCACCCCCTTGTGTGCTGTGCTGGCCTTAATAGGCACTCGCTAACAGTGCTTGTCCCAACTATCTGTTAAGGCTATGAGGGGGATCTTTGTCTTTATGTGTACGTGTAGATAGTGTTATAATGATATTACGCTTATTTACCCCGCAAAGACTCACCGAGCATCAAGACTCTTTTTCAGGAGGGTTCTACCAATATTTTTCAGTTGCGGGGAGGGGGGGTTATGTTGTTGCTGCTGCTGTGTAGCCCACAAAGTCACACATATACCCATCGACTCACACAGAGACTCAGACTCACACATAGACCCACAGACTCATATCGAGACCCATAAAATGGTACAGACACCCACAGACTCATACCGAGACCCACAGCCACATACAATAACCCATAGATTCACCATACACACCCACAGACTCATATCGAGACCCACAGATTTATATCGAGACCCACAGACTCATATAGAGGCCCACAGACTCCTACAATGACCCATAGACTGATACAGAGATCCACACTCTACAGTGAGGGAAAAACGTATTTGATCCCCTGCTGATTTTGTACGTTTGCCCAGTGACAAAGAAATGATCAGTCTATAATTTTAATGGTAGGTTTATTTGAACAGTGAGAGACAGAATAACAACAACAAAATCCAGAAAAACGCATGTCAAAAATGTTATAAATTGATTTGCATTTTAATGAGGGAAATAAGTATTTGACCCCCTCTCAATCAGAAATATTTCTGGCTCCTAGGTGTCTTTTATACAGGTAACAAGCTGATATTAGGAGCACACTCTTAAAGGGAGTGCTTTGTTACCTATATAAAAGACACCTGTTCACAGAAGCAATCAATCAATCAGATTCCAAACTCTCCACCATGGCCAAGACCAAAGAGCTCTCCAAGGGTGTCAGGGACAAGATTGTAGACCTACACAAGGCTGGAATGGGCTACAAGACCATCGCCAAGCAGCTTGGTGAGAAGGTGACAACAGTTGGTGCAATTATTCGCAAATGGAAAAAACACAAGACCTGTCAATCTCCCTCGGCCTGGGGCTCATGCAAGAGCTCACCTCGTGGAGTTGCAATGATCATGAGAACGGTGAGGAATCAGCCCAGAACTACATGGGAGGATCTCAAGGCAGCTGGGACCATAGTCACCAAGAAAACAGTTGGTAACACACTACGCCGTGAAGGACTGAAATGCTGCAGCGCCCGCAAGGTCCCCCTGCTCAAGAAAGCACATATACATGCCCGTCTGAAGTTTTCCAATGAACATCTGAATGATTTAGAGGACAACTGGGTGAAAGTGTTGTGGTCAGATGAGACCAAAATGAAGCTCTTTGGCATCAACTCAACTCGCCGTGTTTGGAGGAGGAGGAATGCTGCCTATGACCCCAAAAACACCATCCCTACCGTCAAACATGGAGGTGGAAACATTATGCTTTGGGGTGTTTTTCTGCTAAGGGGACAGGGCAACTTCACCACATCAAAGGGACGATGGACGGGGCCATGTACCGTCAAATATTGGGTGAGAACCTCCTTCCCTCAGCCAGGGTATTGAAAATGGGTCGTGGATGGGTATTCCAGCATGACAATGACCCAAAACACATGGCCAAGGCAACAAAGGAGTGGCTCAAGAAGAAGCACATTAAAGTCCTGGAGTGGCCTAGCCAGTCTCCAGACCTTAATTCCATAGAAAATCTGTGGAGGGAGCTGAAGGTTCGAGTTGCCAAACGTCAGCCTCGAAACCTTAATGACTTGGAGAAGATCTGCAAAGAGGAGTGGGACAAAATCCCTCCTGAGATGTGTGCAAACCTGGTGGCCAACTACAAGAAACGTCTGACCTCTGTGATTGCCAACAAGGGTTTTGCCACCAAGTACTAAGTCATGTTGTGCAGAGGGGTAAAATGCAAATCAATGTATAACATTTTTGACATGCGTTTTTCTGGATTTTGTTGTTGTTATTCTGTCTCTCGCTGTTCAAATACACCTACCATTAAAATTATAGACTGATCATTTCTTTGTCAGTGGGCAAACGTACACAATCAGCAGGGGATCAAATACTTTTTTCCCTCACTGTATATTCATCTGCTAAAGCAAATTCAATGGGAGGCTGATTGAAGCTCGGATGCGGTCATGGCATGGCTCCCTATTGGTCAACTATGCTATGTATGCTAATGATGTGGTGATAACTGCTCACTCAGGAGGAGTTGGAGATTTTGCTGCTTAACCTGGAGCATGCTACTAAGAGGTGGGGCCTTATCACCAGTCCCAACAAAACAAAGCACCAGTCTGAGTATTTTGTATCATCAAACACTCCATCCCATCAACTCCCCATTGTTGATGGAGCAGTTGTAGAGAGAGTGGAGAGTGTTACTTCCCAGGGCAGTGAGCTTATGACCAGCTCCGGTTTGACAGCAGAGACCTCACTCCGAATCAGTCGGGTGGCATTATATTTTCATCAGCTGCGTAATGCTTTGTGAAAGATACCTGGTCTGTCGCTCCACAGAAAGCTTCGAGTCTTCTCAGCCAGAGCCATGCGTTCCCTTTATTATAGTTTGAGAACGTGGACCCCCCAAACGGAACATCTGCGTTGGCTATAAACATTCAGGCTGGCCTGCCTACGATCCCTCCTGGGTTTAACCAGGCTGAATTGTGTGAGGAGCTCACAAAACCTTGAAAGATCTGGACAAATTCCCATCAGTGAGCTCCACCTGCAGGCGTCTGCATTGGCTGGTTCGTGTAGCCCAAATGCCTAGTCACCGCATGCCGACGCAGCTTTTATTTGGCCAGATAGAGGGGGCTAAACGGGCATGGCATGGGCTAGAAAAGAGATGAACTAATGTGCTGAGTGAACTTTCTGATGACTGGTAGCAGCAGTGTCAAGTGGAGGAGGCTCGTGAAGGATGCTACTGGGCCGTTGTAGGTAGGTGCCCTCCAACAACAGTGGAGGGCAGAGCAGCGATGTTCACATACCGTACATAGCCAATCGTGCTCCGCTCAACGATGAGCAGAGCAAGTTGGCAGAGTAGGGACACAGGTGGTGCATCTGCCAGTCATATCAGTCAGTCAACCCATGACACCTGGGTCTGTTCAGTAACCTGCCAGCAGGCGTTCGGCACTTCACGTGATAGCCTCAAAGTGTACACAGCCTGGCACAAGTGCCATGGTGACATCACCGCCACTTAGTGGTGAATGGTGGCTGTTATTGTTGCTGTTGTTGATACAGAGCAAAAGAGAGCGTCTCATGCACTCACGTAGTCCGGGTTCCAGGTCTCGTAGGTGAAGGGAGTGCTGGACTGCATGGCCACATAGGCTATGAAGATGATGACCAGGAGCAGGGGGCTGATCACGCACCACATCACCCGCCAGTAGAGGTTAGGCCTGCGGCCTGTCATGAACTCCAGGTCACTGCTGAACCTGCACAGAGAGAGACAGACATAGAGGTAGCCACAGAAATATACACTGATAACACCTGGAGAGAGATAGAGACATTAAGACAGATAGAAACGAGATACAGGGTGGTGCAATGGCGACACTTATAAGTGTAATTTGTGATGTGTAACGCCGTACAAGAGTCACTGCTCTCGAAGAAAGACAAAGGATGAATCAAAGGCACCCAGAGGAACCACAAACAGGCCGGAAGGCAGGAACAACCAAATAATGAGGAGCCAGCACACCAACAATTTCCCAAGCTCTGCGGTCCCCTATATACAAAGGTGTCATTGAGCAATCAATGATGAGTGTTCATATGTGGGAGGAAACCGCAGCACCTATAGAAAACCCACACATGAGAGGGGGAAACACTCTATCCCGTACAGACGGAGGAACAGGTGGAGTCAACATTTTCGCTGTACCACCCTCTCCTGGCAAAGCCAGGGTACGGCCAATCCTCTACATCCACGGGAGTGGAGTGTGAGCAACACCTGTGTGTGATCCACCACGTGTGCAGTTTAAAGAAGGGAGATTGGGCTCACTGCCCCACTCGAGTGGGGACCGCGAGCGGTGTAGATGTCGGCTGAAGGTTTTTTACCACGAGCGGAAAAAAAATGTCTATCAAACGGCACCCACCTGCAGTTATTCCGAAGACGACCGTAAGGGGAGAGATCAGACCAAACCTCCCGGATGGGTGTCGTAATGCAGCAAACCCTTTCCTCTCGCGGGTTTAGTTATCGAGATTTTTGCGGTTTCGTGCCAATGTACTGAGTGACAGAGTTTGCTGATTGCGCCCACCCCTGTGGCTCGACCACACGAAGTTGACCGCGAGATGCCAGTACAAAACGCGTCGTGACTACACTGCTCGTGATGACGCTGCTGTCACGGAAAAACACATGCAGCGCAGTCTCACCTCCATCTCTTCTCTGTCTCGTCTCCGTCTCGTCTCCGTCTTGTCTCCATCTCACCTCCATCTCTTCTCCATTTCATCTCGCCTCCGTCTCGCCCCTGTCTCGTCTCTGTCTAGCCTTGCCTCCGTCTTGCCCCCGACGAGTCTCCGCCTCGCCTCCGTCTTGTCTAAGTCTGGCCTGGCCTCCGTCTCGTCCCCGTCTCACCTCTTCTCGCCTCCGTCTCATCTCCGCCTCCGTCTTGTCTACGTCTCATTTTTGTCTTGCCTCACCTCCGTCTCGTTAAAGTCTTGTCTCCGTGTTGTCTCCCCAAGCGGCACTATTGTAGGTCCCAGGTCACGTGCCGGTTTTCTCAGCCTCCAGTGAGGAGGCAGTGAGGCTCAGCCAATCACGATGAGTGATGCTCGTAAAGCCAGCGCATGGCTGAATGTTTCTAATAAACCATTTAATCAAACGGCACCCACCTGTGGTAGCCATAGACGTAGATGACCGCAAGGAGCTCGATCATGACAGTGAAGAGGAGCGGTAGGGAGCCCACGTAGCTGTCAAACACAATGAGCCAGTAGCTGCCAGAACCCAGCGTGAACAGCAGGCTGATGAGGAGGCTAACGCCGCAGATCAGACCTGGGACGTGGGGTGCAGGGCAATTCATGGCGCCCGTGAGGCTCAAAAGAGTGGTGACTTTGTTGACTCACACAGAGACCCATAAACCCCACATAAAAACTCATACAAGGACCCGTAGACCCCATACAGAGACCGATAGACTCCACACAGACAACTGTAGACCCCACACAGAGACTCACAAACCCCACACAGTGACCCATAAACTCACACAGAGACTCGTAGGCTCACACAGAGACCCTCAGATCCCACACAATGACTCAAACTCACACAGAGACCGGTAAACTCACACAGTGATCCATAGACCCCAGACAAAGACCCATAGACCCCACAAAGAGACCCGTAGACCCCACACAGTGACTTATATACTCCACACAGAGACCCACAGACCCCAAACAGAGGCCCGTAGGCCCAGAGGGCAGGGCGTGTAGTGACCTGAGATCGCCTCATTGGGGAACCTGGCCGGGAAGACGTGCAGGTCGAGCAGTGGGGTGAGGATGCTCTCGATGTGGCCAAACATGGAGGAGAGCCCGAGCATGAAGAGCATGACAAAGAAGAGTACGGACCACACCTGCACATGGGGATGCACATCGGCGCTCCGGGTTAGTTCATCAGTCTCCGTGTGGGGTCTATGGGTCTTTGTGTGAGTCTTTGGATGTCTGTGTGAGTCTATGGGCCTCTGTGTGAGTCTATGGGCCTCTGTGTGAGTCTATGGGACTCTGTGTGAGTCTATAGTTCCATATGTGAGTTTTTGAGCCTCCTTGTGAGACATGGGTCTCTATGTGAGTGTCTGTTTCAGTCAATCAGTCTCTATGCAAGTCTATGGTTTTATTACACTGCAGGGAATCGGGTCTGTGCGCGATACTTTAAATTCCTCTTGTGATACATTTTTACTCTTTGGTTATTTCAGTAAAGTCACGTAGAAAGAAAAATAAATGAAATAATAGCATACGACGTTTCAATTGCAACAGAAGCAATCATCATCAGGTACGAATGAAAGAGAAAACAAACCTAGCAAACTTATATATATAATGCAATACAACACAGAGAGTCGGCTAACATAACAGTCAACGCCCTACCTGGTTGATTACGTTCTTCCAAAGATTGCTAAATTTGAGAGAGAGAGACAAAACACATACATGGAGATACATAGACAGACACATAAGCAGAGAGAGAGATAACACAGAGACACACAGAGAGAGACACACATAGATATACAGAGAAACAACGCTTCTGTGTCGAGGCCTGAAATAGACAGAGAGGGGGGCATAGAGAGAGGGGGCTTTGGTGACTGCAGGAAATACTAGCGCGACAACACAAGGACACAGAGAGAGAGAGAAAACACACTTAATCAAACAAACTTAGTCAAATTTGGAAATATAATGCAATGCAACAGAGAGAGTCGGTCAACACACAATTATCGCATAGCCTGGTTGATTACGTTCTTCCAAAGATTGCTAAATTAGAAGTTAAGTGTGAAATTTGAGAGAGAGACAAGACAGACACGGAGACACAAAGACAGACACACAAGCAGAGAGAGACACAACACAGAGACACAGAGAGAGAGAGAAAACAAACTTAAATCCTCCCCGTAGAGGTGGTTCAAACGTGATTTGGAGCTTTCGTGACTGCAGGAATTACTCTTTGGTTCTTTCGGTAAAGTCACGTAGAAAGAAAAATAAATTAAATAAGAGCATATCACGTTTTAATTGCAACACAAGCAATCATCATCAGGTACCCCTGAAAGAGAAAACTAACCGTCAACACCCTACCTGGTTGATTACGTTCTTCATTACTTGTGTGTCTGTCTTTGTGTGTCCGTGTCTTGTCTCTCTCTCAAAATTTCACACTTAACTTCTAATTTAGCAATCGTTGGAAGAACGTAATCAACCAGGCTATGCGTTAATTGTGTGTTGACCGACTCTCTGTGTTGCATTGCATTATATTTCAAAATTTTACTAAGTTTTTTTTTTTTAAGTGTGGTTTCTCTCTCTCTCTGTGTCCTTGTGTTGTTGCTCTAGTATTTCCTGCAGTCACGAAAGGTCCAAATCTCTCATTGACATGCTAATTTATCTACCCCCCTCTCTCTCTCTGCCTCCCTCTCTCTCTCTATTTAAGGCCTCGACACCGAGGCATTGTTTCTCTGTTGTGCCTATGTGTGTCTCTCTCTCTGTGTCTTTGTGTTATCTCTCTCTGCTTAAGTGTCTGTCTCTGCGTCTTCGTGTCTGTGTGTTGTCTTTTATACAGGTGTAGGGGTGTTAAAGAGAGGGCCCGTTATGCATGGCAGCCTATGGAAAACAAACACAGTGGGCGGGGCTACGTAAGTGCACGAGGAGGTGCCCTCTACGACGTCCGAGCCAGACACCCTGGGGGGGGGGCTGGTTCGAACGTTATGATCCCCCGGGGCCCCACCCCTCAGGGAGGGGTTGGGTATAAAAGGGGATGTTCAAAGGGCTCGAGTCAGTTATGTTTAAGCTAAGGGAAGAAGACTGAAGACGTCTTAGATAGAGCCCTGGACTCCCCTAGTTCGATGTCCTTTTCAGGGCCGGACAGGACTGAGCCAGCGGCGTGGTCCCGAAAGCCAGAGCCGGTGCTCTTGTAAGAGCTGGTCTGGAACTCCGGGTACCGGGCCCGACTTACCAGTGTCGGGCCAGTTAGCCTCCCCTAGCCCATTAGTGGAGGATTCGGGGCTAGGACAGAGTTAGCTAGGGGTGTATCCCGAGTTATACGGGTGAGGGGGCCGATACCCCCTCGAGTGTGTATATGCCCACTGTCGTATTGTGAAATAAATATACGTGTGCCTCAACCTCGGCGTCAAGCGTCTTCACCGGTACTTCAACTGGTGTCAGAAGTAATTCGAACATGGACACGCGGAAAACAGCGCGGGCCAAAGTACCGCAGGAGGAAGACACTGCCGAGATCGTCGAGCCCGAGACGGCTCCACAAGACAAGGTGCAGCCGGGGCCTGACGCCTCCTTACCGGGGCATCGAAATGAAGAGGGGCCGCAGCCAGACGCGTTACGGCTGGCTCACGGGAGGCTGGCGGAGCTGCTGTATGTCGCTGCCGCCACGCTGGAGACCATCACGCGACTAGGGGCCGGTGATCCAACACGGGGCGAGGCGAGCCAACGACCAGGGCGCCTTCCCGCCATTTCGGAGCAGTCCGAATTTGAAATTCCCGCCATCGACGCTACAGCTGTTCGGGGCGTGGCCAGTCTAGACATCCGCTCCGACATCGCCGTCGCTGAAGCTGCAACGTCATCACAAGAGCGACAGGCGATCCCATCGGCCGTTCGCACCGACGCACAGCCGAGTGGTGGTGACATCAGCCTGCGGGAGTCCACAACGACCGCTGCGCTTCATCAGAGACTGCCCCCACTGAAGGAGTTCATCGGCGCGGAGGGGGACTGGGCCGGTTTTCGCCGACGTTTCCTCGCCCATCAGGAGATGGCGAAATGGTCCGATGAGGAGGCTCTCTGCGCGCTGCCGGCGCTCCTCGACGGCGACGCGCTCGCCGCCCTCACATCGGCGCCGAGAGAGAAGCGGTCTATGTTACCGATGGCACTACAGCTGCTGGGCAGGGTCTATGGACCATCGGCTGAATGCCGACAGCAATTTTACGACCGCAAGCGGGGTGAGAAGGAGTCGCCCCTAGCATATCGGACGAGCCTCCTGGCGATGGCTAAGTCGGCCTTCCCTCGTATGGACGACGACGGCGTGGACGCGATGGTCACGGAGAAGATCCTCCTCCTGGCAGACGACCTTGACATCGCGGTCGTCGCCCGGGAGGACGAGGAGATGACATCGCTCCAGGCGGCGCGGCTCCTCCACGCCAACCTCCTGTCACTGCGGCGGAAAGCCAGCAGGGCATCGGCGGGGTGTGCGGTGGCTGCAGCCACCATTCCGACGGAGGAGCTCTACGCCGTCGACCACCGACCGCAACAGGCGACAGGAGCACGGTCGGGCCGGGACGGGCCGGGCCGTTTCAACCATCCGTCTCCTCCAACGGCGCTCCCGCGGTGTTTCAACTGCGGCGTCCGGGGCCACGTCGCCTCGGGGTGCCGCGCTCCTCGACAGCGCGGGACGACACCTCAACGGGACGACGGGCCTCATCACAAGCTCCACCATCATAACCCGGCGAGTCGCGGCACCCCACATGTTTGGCCCACGCACACACCCGTCACGCACTCAAACACCGCAACGAGAGGGGGGCCGATATCGCGCACCATCGCACCATCACGCACCACCCCGGGTACTCATATCGAACCCGGCCAGTGGTCCGTGCTGGCCGATCGTGTGGTAGCCGCATCGTCGGGGTCGTCGGCCGTTGTGGGGCACATCGACGGGGTTGAAGTGCGCATCCTGGTCGATACGGGAGCATCGGCGACCATTATTTCGGAGTTGATTTACAATATTCTCCCTGTCCGGAGTCGTCCTTTGATGCCTGTTAACGTACCATTCTATGCGGCTAACGGGGGCTCACTTGGCATCATCGGACAAATTCGTGCCCAAATTTGTATTGGGGATATTAAATTGTCTGGGCCGATTTTTGTTTCCTCCTCGCTGGCGGTTCCGTGCCTGCTGGGGACGGACTTCCTGGCCAAAATGCCGATTAGGATATTGATCGACCAGGGATGTATTGAGCTCCCGTCGGGCAGACGCATGGCGTTTCTGCCATCGCCTGTTACGACTCGGACGGCGTTCGCGACGGTGCCGGCATTCGTAGAGAGAACGGTGCGCATACCTCCGGGGGCGCAAATGTTGATTCCCTTGAAACTTCGGCGGCCCTTCGCTAAGGGTGTTGGGGCCCAAGGGGTTCTGCTGGGGCCGTCTAGGGCCGGGGTTAGTGGACCTCATTTACTTCCGGCCCAGACCATAGTAAGAGGGGACGGTGAACCCTTCATCGCGGTCCTCAATGTGGCCTCGCAGACGGTGGTGGTCCCACAGGGGACCGTGCTTGCTCACGCAACGCCGGTGCCATGTGAGGAACCCGTCGCAAATCACGTCAGCGTTGTCCCTGCGCCGCGACCGCATTCGGACAGCGATGAAGGGTGGCTCGAGGCGCTTTGTGCGGGATCGACGGACCTGTCAGATTCAGAGCGTCAACAACTTAAAACACTACTGCGGGAATTTTCCGACGTTTTTAGTCGGAATAAATACGATTTGGGTTGTACTCACCTGCTGCGTCACCATATTGACACGGGTGACAGCGCGCCAATTCGCCAAAATCCGTTTCGGTTGAGTCCCGCCGAAAAGGACCATGTCAAATCGGCTGTTGATGACATGTTGGCCGCCGACATCATTTCTCCTTCCACCAGCCCTTGGGGAGCGCCGATCGTCCTGGTTAAAAAGCAGGACGGTTCGTTGCGATTTTGTGTTGATTTCCGGCGTCTTAACAAAATTTCGGTTGCCGACGCATACCCGCTCCCTCGGATGGATGAATCGCTGGACGCCTTGGCGGGAGCGCGATTCTTTTCCACACTGGATTTACTTTCGGGATTCTGGCAGCTTCCTCTGGACGATGATTCAAAGCCTAAAACTGCTTTCCATACACCGCATGGCCTGTTCCAA